TWYAYATATATGATAGTTTTCTTGTGTCYYATTWACCAGGACTGYCCTCATCGRGACACRACCGACCATAGACGCGTCCAGCAACAGCARGGTGGAGGYATCATCGTGGCGTCACCTGTAGCTGAAGCTGGTCTTTATAACTTTATTTTACCTTTGAGAGCTTATCACCGACCAAAAATCACTCTTAAACCTGTTATACTCCTACTTGGRAAAGAGTAAGTCTCATTCTTATTGTGATGTGTCGATAATTGAAAAATAATTGAGCTCCCTGTATGAAAGTCCACTGAGCGTATTCTAACAATCTCGTCACTTTTCAGACCTTGTCCAGACTTCTTAGAGGCTGTCTGTCATTTCCCAATGTTGTACTATGTCACAGGAACAATCAACAGGTAAATAATTTTATCGTGTTTTTCAGCATTGCAGCTGGGGGTCAGTTCTCGACAAATTGCGAATTAGGGAGGTAGGGAGGGAGGGGAGGGTCATAAATTCAATTCTGTCCTATATTTGATTATGAAGAAACATTAACATTGATAGACTAAGACGCGTCGATGACATTTTGCCATTATTCTCAATTTATCTTATTTCATGAATTAGCCTTGATAATCTACTGCAAGCTGGATGCCTCACAGCTGATAGCATCGTGGTTGTCGGTCAGCGGAATGCTCATCAATTTTATGACGAAGAGCACATGGCAGATGCAAGTACCATAGTTGGTGTACAAACCATTTATAGGTGTGTATGATAATGGCTTGTTTGTAAATCCGTCGATTGATTGCTTGATTGTGGTGATTGATTGATTGCCTGATTGCTTGCTTGCTTGCTTGCTTGACTGACAGGTTGTTCCCATCAGCTAATCTAATAGTAGAGCTAACACACGCATCAAACATGCGGTTTATGAAGTTTCAAGCTGATCAAATGACGATYAGCACTGAGTCGATGGCAAGTCTTCGTGAGAGCGTCAAGGTTTGTATAATCAATCAATACCTACTCYCATCCCTCCATYCATTCATCCCATTCCATTTTCTCTACAGCGGAAACTGAAGGAGCAAAATAAAAGAGACCATCTAAACTACATGTTCCGCGAGCCGTTTGCAGCAGGCTACGTATTTAGTATGAGTATGCTTGACACCTTGCTATATCAGGTAAAAAAAAACACTTCCATGCACATCACCGCGATACTTCACCCAAACTTCGTAGCAATCACCCTAGTATCCGCCTAGTACCCTAACATTCTGGGACGAGAATTGAAAGGGAGGGTCCTGGGACGCGCATGATAATTTAAGACGTAATTGCACGCCATTTCTACCGTTTTCTAAGTTTTTTCCCTCTGATTCTTTCTAGACGTTTGTCAAAGATTATATGATATCGTTGATCAGTCTTCTTCTTGGCTGCGAACAGGCTCCAGGRTCTGGGTATCTGTGCTCGGTAATTATGAAGAATATAAGCATGAAAATAAATGATTTATGTTGGAGAAATGTATGACGGAATAGTAACATTTTTCATTTTCTAGTTTAAAATCACAAGCGATCACCTATGGTTAGAGACATACGGTCGGCTCTTCCAGCGTCTTTGTTCGACGACTTGTGAGATTCCGATAGGCCTTTACAGAACTCAAATAGGACCAGGAGAGGTATTGCATATAAAACGTCCTACTCAARGGTCTTGACTGTAATTTTGATATCAATCATTTCTCCTTATATGGTAGGATGCCGAAGACGCGTGTCCGCGAGGGACAAAGTTYGAGAAGCGTGACATAYTAGAGATTATTGGATACAGAATGAAACTTCTTGGTTTGAATGAGCAACGTAAGTAGCGTTCAGTMTTATTACCTRGCAGGGGAAGGATCCCTGTCGTTACCGTCATAGAAGATCAATAAATTCTCATTCGCGCTGCGCAAGAACCTAGTACTTGAATTTCCCTTTGAAAATCATACTTGATCTTGTTTCATTAGCGCAAGAAACAAAGCGGCCTGGAGTATCGTACGTTGTTGTCAACCCAAATCCAGAGTTTGACCTTCAAGAAGGCGATATCATGTAAGTACATTATCCTTATTTGGTAAACGATATCCATATTTGGACACAAATGATGTGGGTTTTTTTTATAGCTACCTTATTCGTCCGACCAACACGTCTTCCTCGACGACGWCGTCGTCTCCAACAACGTCGGAACATACTTCAGGGTTTGACACACACTTGTCTGTTGAGGACCCCTTGACAAAACGATCTTTGGTAAACCGTTAAAGGAAACAATGATTATTGCCTAGACACCTTCCTTTATGAGAGGAACAAATGGTTTAAAGTCCGTGTCCAGCGTGCTTGTTGGAATACCCAGAAAACATTGCGGYTAATTGAAGCCATCTTGGCTGGGGAGAACAACTTCTGTTCTAAAATGCAGGACAAAAAAGACTGAAAGGTCTCTAAAAAAATCAAATGAACATATACAGATTGTTCTAGCAATCTTTRCATCAAGAAATGCCTTACAAAGGCGTGATGAAACTGAACTCAGASCAGCTATGACGTCACTACAAATAGCGAGCTTAGATTTAGAATATCTTCAACGAATTCTCGTGATGAAATGCATAGAGGTGAAAAAGACTAATGCCCTAAACCTCACGAAACACTACTAACTTATTTCATATTCAGTTTAATTTATATCACAAGTATTTGTGGAGTTTAGAAATTGCTTTTTTTAATTAAAAAACGTGACGTCATCACTGATGACATATTATATATATGATGACGTCAAAGATGATGTAATGTCACATATAAACATATTTTTTAAGATTTTAATCAATCAGTTTCAAGAATTTTTACGAATATTTTGTTTATTTTTGCTCATGTTGTAATTATTTCGTRTTGTTTGTACATAATCCCAAGTTACTTAAGACTTTTAGAGTAAAAAAGTTGCAGTTTACATGTAGATATTTATGAGAAATAATTAATATATTTAAGAGAGAGAAACAGAAAGATAAATTAAATTGTATTAAGAGAGTCAGTCCACAGAACATAAGACAAAATCTAAGAATAAATATGAAAATTCATGAATGTTGCTTCGCTCGAAAATTCCTGAAGTATCTTTGTATATGTGTGCTGTTGATTCAATCTTCATTAAAATACTAAACAATCTTTAAATAATTCAAAGAAAATACATCCTAAATATTATATTTTTAGAAGTTAATTTAAAGCTGGAGCATTTAAAAGATACTGACTGGTGCTGATTCTAAGAACTCTTGTCAACGCACGACTATAACTTTCCTTGAAACTGCTATAAAAATATATGACAATATATGACGTTGCTCAAATTCATCTATAACAAAGTACATAACCAACAAAGGACCAATCAGGTTCCATGTTATCATTGCGCGCGTTGTGATTGGTTGATAGATTACCGGGACATCATGGTAAAAAAGTAGATTATAACCGAGATGTTTATGTACTTCTGTCCGTAAAAAGTGATACTTTAACTGGGCAATAATCTTTGTGCAACCATGATAATCGGAGCCTATAGCTCTAGCTGAAATTTAGATTAACAAAAAAAAATAATAGATAATTGTTTTGTTATTCAGACAACATATTATACAAATTAGAAAAAAAGATTAAAATTCGCTTAAAACTCTATCGGTAGAGTCCCACTTTATATGTTCATGCACAACGCCTAATTAGGAAAATTGAGTTGTGTCTTGTTTTTACCCTTTTGTGTATATGAAAATACTAATTTAACTATCTTCAAAAAAAATACAGTTTACATGTACATTTCTTCAAGAGGTACGATTATAGTTACAACATGTTTTGTCCTGTTGAATACTAAGTATGTATAAATCTCTTATCAATCATAGAAAAGACAAGACAATGTCTGTTTATTCAGCTGCATCGGAAATYATTTCCAGCCTTTTGTCRCCAATGCCAAATCTWCCCAATCGAATGACAAATGTTGAATATCACTTTTACAYGGACRGAAGATTGCGAAGTGTGATGTATRCTTACTAATAACGAGAGAAATTASAACGATTTTATCCAACAGGTCGTTAGATTCTGTCATCTTCCYACTTGAAATGGCGCTGAATACTGCMTCGATTRTTGCGTCTTCAGTTTTTCTATCCATTACAGAGTTATTGATATTGTGCGGTAAYRTACTGGTGGTTCTAGCAGTTTTCAAGAACAAATCCATGCAGTCTGTTACMAACTTTTTAATCGTCAACCTATCRATAACAGATTTAATGGTAGCGATTTTTAACTGTCCTTTAATGTTGGTTGCTATCATTGCAAAGGGATGGGTCATCGGGGATGCAATGTGCAAAGTGTCTGGTTTCTTAAATGTCGTTCTTTGCTGTGCATCGATTCTTACTTTAACAGCGATCAGCATTGACAGGTGAGGCTTTTTATTTCTTCTTTTTTTTTGTCAATTTATTTGTTTGTCCTCGTTTGTCCTGTCAATGGATTGATGCAATGGTGCGCGAACCCCTTTATCGGACGACAGGTCCGAATCGCCGCACGAACAGATTTTTTTTCTCATCTCGTTGCTTGACTGATAATAYTGTGTGTCAAGAGGAATAATAAAATTTCATAGTCATAATATATTATGAAACGATTGTTGTCAATCAAATACTCTCGGTTTATAGCTCAGTGTTAATAAAAATCGTTAGGGCCCGAGATCGATGATAGCCGGGATGATCTTCATCGTACAATAGGCCTAAATCAAATTATTTACCTCAAATCAATATYTTAAGCTGAAAATTCTGATCCAATTGTTGAGGTTTTTGGCGGGTGTTTTTAAGCCTGATCTTTAAGGGAGTAATATAGTGATAATGCTATCGTGTACAGTTTCTAAAAAAATCAACATTTCATGAAAACTGAATCACTTTGTCGTCTTTTGATGATAACTCATACGCAAACGCCATTGAGTGCAACTGTATTTGAGCTGATATAATTGTGACATTAATGACAACACTACTACCAATTGCTATATTTGCAACAAAATGTCTTCATGATATTTACCTAAAATGAAATGAATCATCTTTTGTGTCAACAAATTGTTAAGGAAGTTTAATGAAATTTCAATAGCGAGGTGTTACGAGGTGTACAATATTTCCAATGTACGTTTTTGGCTTCAGGTGTTTGGCAAACATCTTGAATTCATCAACACCTTTCTGCAAACTTAGAACAAGAAATTTCTAAATGTAGCTAAATTAGAAAAAAACATGCTGATTTGATGCTTTTATGCTTCAATTCAGGCTAAGTTCGATCTTCCGATCCAATTTTATTATCTCTTCTGGAAGCATCCACTTGTAACTTTAGTTTCTCCTGCTACTGGGACGGGGAGATGAAATAAAAAATTAAGTATGCGTGCCCATTCTAGACACCCCACGTGTTTGTCCTTGATTCCCCCTTAAGCCAGGATCCAGCCTTCAGTGATGTATTTTGATTTATTCAATATATAGATACTTCTGTATAACTCGTCCAACCAAAACTGTTATCACAAAAAGAAAAGCTATCTACATGATTATAATCATTTGGTTCATCGTGGTGTGCTTTGCTGTCATGCCATTACTTGGTTGGAATAAATACATCTACATTGATGATCGTAAACACTGCATGATACTATGGCAAATGGGAGGAATACACTCCGTATATGGCGTCTTTCTTTCAGTCTCCAGTTTCGTTATTCCAACATGGATAATGGTCTTTTGCTATTATAAGATTTTCAGCACAGCAAGGAATCAARCCAAGAAATTCCGAAATACAAATATCGCTGGCTCGTCTCAAGAGCAAAGCCATGCGTCTTACAGCAATAGTAAAGTATCGCCGTTCGTTTCCGGGACGCTATGGCTAATTAATCCTTTAAACATTGAGGACTTATCACTAGAATCAGTCAGTACAGCAGGTCAAAGTACAATCAGCACAGACCAGAGCTGCTCAGCGGCAGCAGATGAGAAGACGTCCAGTAGAAGGCTGGCAACATCACAGGCTACAAGACAGAAAGCTGAACAAAGGACKGCTCGAGTCATTTTAATTGTTATTGGTGTTTTTCAGGTATTTTGATTATCGTTGCTATAAACAGAGCGCCTGAGCGTTATTGATTGGTCTTTTGTAACTACTTGCCATCTTCTTGTCATCTTTAGTGGTCCCCATTCCATTCACCTTATGTGGCCACCCCTTCCCTGCCTGTTTTGGGCTCCCTGTGCTCACTAAAATCTAAGACAGCYATCTAAAAACGACACTATTTGCTTTGATGATGCTATGATTCATTGTAATYCATATCACCAGGTTTGCTGGTTACCATACGCAGCGCTGAACCAATGGTCAGCAATTTCAGGCAAATCRCCCCCTGGTGCCGCGGATCTTGGTGCGTCTCTTCTCGGCTACTTCAATAGCGGCTGTAATGCTGTTATCTACACTACATTCAATGCCAAGTTTAGAGAAGCCTTTAAAAAGGTAATYGGCTGGCTTATTCTACAGCGGTTGCTAATTCAGTAATGAATAGCGAGGAATATTGCTTAGCTGAGCAGATCTACAAGTGTTTTTCGGGAGATTGGGGCGTAAAAAAGCTTAAAAGTAAATTGTTCAGAGCACGCCATAGAAATTTCCGTGTGTAAAGACACAAAACAACTAAAATAATGTGAAGAGTTCATTTGGAGGYGGATGCGCGCACTCCCTACACCCCCCTTTCATTATATTTTCCGTAATTGTCAAATGTCTAGTATACAGGTGCGTCATAATCATCTTTTCTTCCATCGTTTCTAGTTGCTATRTTGTAAAAGTATCAAGAAGACATTAATTCCGAACTTCAAAGTCCCAAAGCCGAGGAAGATCGAAGTCAAGTCRAGATTATGATTTTTTTTTCACCAGCTGAATGATGGGCCATGGAGACGCCATATCTAGCTGCGCATGCAGAGATCCTTATCAAAATTGTTTACACAAATCTTTGMAAWTTATAAAATTTAAACTAGTAGCCAAAACAAATAAAGGTTGAATGATGGATGAACGAGCGAGTGCAGAACAAAATGAATTATTTCTTCAACATATCAACACCAAATTAAGACGGACYCYACGTTCTTACAGTGGCCGTTTTATATCAGTTATCAAAAAATAACAATGAAAYCTTTGTATTGTTATGAAAATTAAGAATAGAAAGTTTGTAAATAATGAAATCAATAATAAATATATGTGGAAAAGCCGACAATTTTAGACGTCAAACAATTCACGTCATTGCGCAGCTTGAGCCTGCGAACGGTGGTCAGCATGATATCAAACAAAGATGGCGGATACTGTGGGAGTGCCGTGAAGTGCGTATGATTTTCACTTTTATTTCGATACGTAAGCGGTTGCTCTTCCTTGAAACTTCTACGAGTAAAAGCCAAGATTGTGTTCCATCCGTCTGAGTTACTGTTCCCGTTTTTCTCGCCATGGCAGACGTATTTCGTGATGTTATTCTTGACCCATTGCTTCTCGTGTCGGCCTCACGTTTGGCTACTAGAATATGCAACTTAGAGGTAACTTGTGTAGCTGTCATCAATGYCTACATCGAGCGAATACGAGCCGTGAATGCGAAGATCAATGCTGTTGTTGAAGATCGTTTTGAGGAAGCTACAAGTGATGCTCGTAAGATTGATAACATGCTGGCAATGATGAACAAGGAAGAAAGACAACAGCTGTTTAACCAACAACCCTTCCTTGGAGTTCCGTTCACCACCAAGGAGTCATTTTCTGTTGCTGGCATGCCAAATTGCAGTGGTCTTGTTGCACGTAAAGGTTACATATCTAGCGAGGAYGCACCGGCAATCACACGCCTTCGTAATGCCGGTGCAATACTAATAGCTGTCACAAACTGTAGTGARCTGTGCATGTGGTGGGAGTCGGCTAATCGAGTTTATGGACGAAGTAAAAACCCCTTTGACACTACCAGGATAGTAGGAGGGAGTTCTGGTGGAGAGGGAGCTATTCTGGGTGCGGCTGGATCAATAATAGGCATAGGTTCAGGTAAGACAACCACCATTTTAATACATTGTGATAATGAYCATTGTCTGGTGATGATAGCTGATGATGATGACAATAGTTGATGACAAAAGGTTTAKACTGTGTCACTGTTTATGATAAGTATTATGAGAATGATGTCCAATGTTGATTCTKATGATAATGACAATCTTATAGTTACAAATAACATTAAATATGSATGGTTTCATTGTTATGATATCATTGTTTTCCAGACATTGGTGGCAGTATTCGTATGCCAGCATTCTTTAATGGTATCTTTGGCCACAAACCAAGTCCCGATATTGTACCAAATGGAGGTCAATTTCCTAATGCCGAGGGGCAAGAAAAGCATTACTTGTGTACTGGACCAATGTGCCGATATGCTGAAGATATGAAACCAATGCTCAAGGTACAGTGTCCTTGAAATTAAAAAAAAATGGTACCTTCTTTTGCAGCCAACTCACCATTTCATCACACATTGTGAACAAGTGACAAGCTTGCTGTATTTTTTTCTTTTTGTTAGGTTCTGGCTGGTGACAATGGTGTTAAGTTGAAACTAGACCAGCCAGTGGACATTGCAAAGTTAAAGTATTACAGYATTGAAGACTCCATGAAGAATTTCCTGGTCTCCAAACTGGACAAAGAGTTGAAGCAAGCACAAAGAAATCTCTGCAACAAACTGGAAGATGAGTGTGGCGTCAAAGTTGAAGTTATCAAGCTTGAAAAATTGGATTACTCGCTCCAAATCTGGGCCCGTATGATGGCAACATCAGGAGGAAAACCTTTCTGTCACTATTTGGGGAATGAGATTGCTCCTGTAAACCCATTCTGTGAATTTTTCAAGGCAATGTTTGGGTTTTCTGTTCACACAATACCAGCAATTGGTCTTGGAATGATGGAAAAGCTTGAAGCATTGGTTCCACAGGCTACAACAAATGTGTATGTTCAGATGGCAAAAGACTTGAGGCAAGAAATTGAGGATATATTAGGAAATGATGGTGTATTATTGTACCCATCACACCCAACAGTAGCCCTCAAGCATAACGTCCCGATATTTTATCCATTTAATTTTGCTTATACTGGTATATTTAATGTCCTTTATTTACCAGTAACGCAGTGTCCAATAGGGTTAAATAACGCCGGCCTTCCTATGGGAGTACAGGTTATTGCTGCTAATGGCAACGATCACTTGACTTTAGCTGTCGCTGAGCAAATTGAGAAAGTGCTGGGAGGATGGGAGAAAATGTGTCATGATAAACAATGYGAAGAAAAATGAATAAATGGGAATAATTATATATAATATTTTGATTTTAAAAAACAGTTCATGGAGGTGTACAATTTATTTTTATTATGCATGATATTGTAATATGTTGCAACCACTTTTTATTGGAAACTATTTGTTAATAAGTGCTTGTTATTCCATCCAAAGTTTTTCATTGTTGTTTAGAAAGGAGGAAATTTCAATGAGCTTTGGCAGGGTTTGGAAAAATGTCTCTTCTCRTATAACTTAGCTGGTAATCAACCTTTGGTATTTAGTGGTAGTTTTTTTATCGCATTTGCAACTATATTACCATGAAAATTAAGAAAAGAACTCAATATTTATCATAAGTTTATTTATCATTATAAATAATAAAAATAATTATTAAAATATATTTATTATTTTACTWAAGACAGTTATTAATCTAAGGAAAGCAATAAGAATTGGTGTCAAACACTTTATTGTTAAATAAAAAGTGCAGGAATATGAGTGTATTTGTATTGCATGTGATATTAATATATTAATAATTAATGATAATACACTGTAGATGAAATGACTTTGTTTATAAAAAAGGTCTATAAAGGTTCTATAAAAGTGTGAGTCCAACCTCATTTAAAATATTTAACACATTGAGAAAAGATTCCGCACTATTGGTGCCTCTTCTTGGCTGAAGACAAAATTAAAACAGTTTCAGACTTGGCTTGATCTTAGCTTAAATGTATTAAATATCTTAAACATGGTTGGAGGAAGTTACCTACTTTGAAAGCTATCCAATACTGTTTTAATTCATTCTTATGATTCAATGTGCAGTGTTTCAATAGAGTGATCTTTGTAAGCCCAGTTCATTGTCTTTTCRATGACAGGTTTTATTGTTGACATTGTAATTAATATTGCCTCTTCTGTGCGTATYGTCCGACTTCCTTGYCCAGGACATGTATTGATGTAATGATGAAACAAAATATCAGGAGTGGAGACGTCCAGGTTTTGGTCTGATTCTAAACTTGCTTCAAGTCCTTTTAGACCACCAAATACAATCAACATATTCCTGGAATTGAAAGAATGAGCACTTAACTTGAGCAAAACAGATGTACAACTTTATTGGTCTATAAGTAATTGGCTAACGAGTGATGTTTATAAACTATTTTTGATAAACATACTTGAATGGCTGCAGGTTCAATGTGTCAACTGAACTTCCCCTTTCTGACGTTCCTATCATAATGTCATATCCATCGTCGTATGGACTTTGAGTGAAAACTTCACCAAAACTTGATGCAAGTCGAACTGAGTATCCCCAGTAAATACCACACTCTGYCCTTGGTGCACTGGGCGACACTGCTGTACCATAGAACACTTTGGAGTCTGAGCACACAAACACAAGAGAAAAAAAAACATTGAAATTCACAMACACATAAAGTGGTATCATAAATAGAGAAACCTGAATATGTGAGTGATAAACAAAGTAAGCAGCTTCTCAAAATCTACCTTTTTTAGAGGGTTTCTCCATTTTGACAGTAACTCTTATCCCTGGCCTTAGATATTTGTCAATTCTGACTTCTTTTCTTGCACCTGCATTCACTAATGATCCCTTCTTTTCTGCAACTGGTCTGTCCAAAACCACACCTTCTCTGAAGAGAACATCATCATCGATRCGCATGTGATGAGGGCTGTCCAAAGGATTTAATACACCTATCAAAAATACATTATCTAACTGTTGCTTGTTTAATTATTACAATCTGAATGGAAGAAAACAAGAATTGATACCTGCATATTGTAGATCAACATGTCTGGGGAAGAAGGATTTCCTAAGGTACTGAGGACATTCCAGATATTGCAGAATTCTAGCAAGTTGTATGTTTGCGTTGCCCTTTTTATTAACACCATGAAATGTAGCTTCCTGGTCAAGGGGTTTATTGGATTCGTTAAAGATGATTACTTCATCCACATTRAATATAACAAGAGCTCTAGCAATCTGAAAACAAATCATGACATTCAAGCCTTCAATTATGAATCCATCCATTCTTTTATTCAATTATTTATATCAATTTCTTCAAATTCCCATTCATTTATCCATCCATTCTTCCATTCATTTACAAATAATATCATCTATTCACCCATCACTTTATCTGTAAATTGACTATTTCATTCTGTTGTGTAAATGAACCCTGATCAATCCTCTTAAAATTGATCATACATGTACTTCACTTCGTTTACCTGCCCAGCCAAGTACGTCCTAAGCTCTGGTGACTGAGCATTCTCAAGAATTGAACCAGGTAATGCAATACTAACAGTGAATGATCTCCCTAAAATAGATGAAAACATTAACGCTCTTCAAGTAATATAAGCATGTTATGACAGCTGATGAGATGTCATGTCGATCAAACCTCGAGATTTTTCTTGTTTGTTTTGATTTTCATCCAATGTTTCTGATGACTGTGAAACCTGGATCTCTTTTTCTACGAATCCACCATTATTATCATCAGCTTTAATCTTCTTCTTCTTCTTTTTATGTTTATCTGAACACGAAAAATGATTTTTTTAAAAGACCCTCT